GGGCATATTCCCGTTGAGGCCCGTACATTTGTTCTCCAAAATTAACTTTGGGGCAAGCTGAGGGTAGGGCTCTTTTAGAGACCTTCAGGGTCTGGGTGGTTGTTACACAGCCCTCAGAACAAGGCAGTGCTCCACAGCAGCTGGCACAGCTCAACCCCTGCTGCTGACAAACCCAGTTGTGCTGGCTCACAGCTGGTCGAGTGCAAACACAAACCCAGCCCTGAATTACCCACAGAAACCTTTTTCCAAGGCTGGTGGAGGCACAGGGGGCCCAGTGTCTTGGCTGTGCCCCTTTTCCCTGCCCCTCCCTCGTGCATGCAGGTGCCAGGGCTGCCTGACCCGGGTGCTGAGCAGAGCACAGCACAGTCCCACGTCACTGGCTGCAGCCAAACCTTGCCTGGGCCCTGGAGGTGTCTGCCTGAATAGCTGCTGTTTGCCCTTTTGAGCATGTCATGCCTTAATTGCAGACGGTTCTGAGCCCTTTGGGAAGAGGAGAGGAATGAGTCATCTCTGTGTAGTATGATAAATGGGTGTTTTCATTTAAATAAAAAGAGATCAGCCAGAGCTCTCTCAGTGTTACTCTTAAAATGTTTTACAGTAACATCTAAGAAAAGCTGAAGTGCCTTTTCCATAGTGCTGAGAATGGAGAGGAGACTGATGGACTGGATTAACAGCCAGCTGATGAAGTAGAAAGCACACCCTGATATTTTGTCAATAACCATTTATAGCAAGGAACTCTTGACTATCTTCATGCTTCTTGTTTATTTGAAGTACCACAGTAGCCAGGACTCCCTCATTTTAAAAACCAAGGAGCTCATCATGCTGTGCAAGGACCCTCTCCATCAGCTCACAGTAATATTTTTGTGAGAAACAGGGACCTGGCTGTGGTTTCCCATGCAGTGTAACAGCACAAGAACCAGGAGCGGGCAAAGTCAGAGAGGAATTAAAATCTTTGTCAAAACCCACAGCACGTTTTCCTTACTATAGCAATGCTTGGCTAGCCAAGAGGAGAAACATCCTGTAAGAAAAGAACTTAATTTCTTCTGTTGCAACTATAATATAGGGTGCCTCAGAGCAGAGTCTCACAATTTCTCATCAGTGTGTCATGTACTAAAGTAAGATTTTTTTCCCTGTACCTGGGCCATTGATATAAAGAAGAATCATGGACAAATTTGGGTTGGAAAGGACATTAAAGCTCATCGTATTCCAAGCCCCCTGCCATGGGCAGGGACACCTTCCACCAGCCCAGGTTTCTCCAAGCCCTGTCCAACCTGGCCTTGGACACTTCCAGGGCTGGGGCAGCCACAGCTTCTCTGGGCACCCTGTGCCAGGGCCTCCCACCCTCACAGGGGAGAATTTTTTCTTACTATCCCATCTAATCCTGCCCTGTGGCAGTGGGAAGCCATTCCCCCCTGTCCTGTCCCTCTGTTCCTTGTCCCATGTCCCTCTCCAGCTCTCTTGGAGATCCATTAGACACTGGAAGGGGCTCTAAGATCCCCCTGGAGCCTTCTCATCTCCAGGTGAACACCCCCAGCTCTCCCAGCCTGGCTCCAGAGCAGAGGGGCCCCAGCCCTCTCATCACCTTCGTGGCCTCCTCTGGACTTGTCCAACAGCTCCACATCCTTATGCTGGAGGTCCCAAAGCTGCCCAGGGTGCTCCAGGGGTACAGAAGAGTATAAAAGCATCAAATCATAGCACAGATCATCATTGGCCTGTGAGTGAGGCCACGGTGTGGCCTTTTATTTAAAAATAAAAAAAT